AGTTTTTCCTAATATCCAACCTAAGTCTCCCCCACTGCAACTTGAGACCATTACTCCTTGTCCTGTCATCTGCTACCACTGAGAATAGTCTAGATCCATCCTCTTTGGAGCCACCTTTCAGGTTGTTGAAAGCAGCTATCAAATCTCCCCTCACTCTTCTCTTCTGTAGACTAAACAATCCCAGTTCCCTCAGGTCCCAGGTCCAGTAGTCACATGCTTGCCTTTCTTTGCAGTCAGTGGAGAACTCCATTGCAGCAGCTTTCTATACCCTCCAACATTCCACAGAGCCTCTTGGGCTGCATCCCTACCACTCCTCACTGGGGGACAGTAAGGAAACTTTCAAAATCACACATACTGACCTGAGAGCCATGACTGGTGTATGTTTTTCAGAAATGGACTGAAATGGACATGAATGTTTTCTGCTGTTCTAATTTTAAAATGCTGTTCTGTTAATTTATTGTATTTGCATTGTATGGCTTTTAATTACACATTGTGTTTTGCACTGTTTTTGGTATGTAACTTTTATTTTTTGGAAATAGTCCTCTTTCTGACTTAACACATACTACCAAATCCCGAGCACTACTCAAAGCACATATTACTTGTAGTGGAACAGGACCACAGAACTCGTTGGTTCACTTAGAAACAATGTTAAAATTGTAACTGTACAATAAGCACTGCATAACTGATGGATTCATTAAGTCGGTATGATTTTCATAAATGTACACCAAGTGTTACACAATTCCTTGCAGCCCCCGAAACTTCAAGGCTGCATTCATCACCATCCAGCTCAGCACATTACTTTAGTTGACTTTTAAAGTGCTCTTCCAAGGCCTCTCTCAGCTGCATAGTTCTGCGTTGAGCTATTCTGATAGCCCTTGTTTCTGGCTGTTCAGTCAGCAGACAGCTGCTCCGCCTCTGCTGTCCTATTCTCCTTTGTCACGGAGTTATGATGCAGAACACAGAAGGGAGCCATAACCAATGGGATATTTTTCTTGCTGAGATCCAGTCTTGTCACTAAACACCACCAGCATTCCTTCAGTCTGTTGAAAACATATTCAGCTGTCATTCTGCTCTTGCTGAGCTGGTAGTTGACTCTTCCTTGAAACTGTCAAGGTAGCCAGGGTATGGCTTTATTTATTTAGCGTGTGCATAGTCATCTAGCCAAGCGATGGCATCTTCAGTGGTCTGATGCAGTTCTTCTAGGCCACTGCTGAACCTCGTTAGCAGGCATTCATTGACAATGTGTGTCATCGTCTGCGTTGTGCTGCAGTTGCACAAAGGGCTGTCACGAAGCATTCGTGCATTACCAGCATTACTGGTTGGCTGCACAGAGACCTTGCCTGGTCTGGAACCTGTTCAACAGGGACAATTGGCAGGTCAAAACCAGGCAGGCAAATTGTGGGGTCAGTGACAAGGGATTGGTTGGGGATTATAACAGAGATCCATTCCTCTCAGAGTGTTTCTGCCCTAACATCCTGGCGTGGCAGATGAGACAATAATAGGTGACGCGATGGCAAACGTGCAGCTAGTGGTTTTAAAAAGGTCATTGTGCAGTGGCAGGCTTGAGTTGGCGTGTACTTTCTCCAGTAACGTGCCAGTGGCAACCTGTCTTCCGAAATGAGGAAGAGCAATATTGCTCAGAACTGGAAGCCATGGGAATGGAGTCGCACGCAGGTGCCAGAGATGATACGGATGGTGGCATGTAACTGCATATCCACCAGTTTGGTGTGTGACGCTCGACTCCAAACTGGTAGGTAGTACTCCGCCACTGAATGCGAGGTGGCAAGAGCTGATGTCCACAAAGTTGGAGCACGAGCACCCTATGACGAATCTGCCAGTTTGCTAAGATCGTTGCACATCTTGACTTCAGCTCCTGTGTTCTTCAGGTGGGCATGGTAGCTCTGTGTGCCGTCTAAGGTCACACCTGGTAGACTGGTTCTACTTCATGCTTCACCTTCTGACCATTCACATATGGCTTAATGAGCCAGAGGTGTAGGTTGGGTCCCCCTGGCTCGCTATTGACATTTCAGCATTGCATGTGGTAAGTTTGCTAGTTGGAGGGAAAAAATGAAGCTTCCTGTACAGTCCTGTGTCCTTAAAGATGCGAGTGTCACACTCTTTGCCTGACCAGCCGATGTTTGTCAGTGAAGCATCCCCTGTGACCCACCAACCCTTGCATAACCATAGAAAAGTAGGTCCTTTCTGTTGATGTACTCTGCATGGTAGGACATGGGTGCCATCAATTGCCTCAACGCACTCTGGGATCCCCATAGCCACAAATCCATTTAGCGTCCTGCACGTTGCCTAGAGTCAGTCCTGCATAGCAGGATACAATTAATGTCCCTGTACACGTCTGACCGCAGCCCCCACTGTTGATATTTCAACTCCAGAATCATTTCCCACTGACCAGTAGCAATCTGTTGCTGCAAGTTTCTCTAGTGTGATCGCCACTTGCTTCTTAGCTGTCAATGTAGCTGACGTTCTGGTGTGCCTGCTCTGGAGGGCTGTCTTGAGCTCAGCACACAGATCCAGAAATTGTGACCTTTTGCATGTGAAAGTTCTGCAGGTGCTGCTCATCCCAAACCTGCGTTATGATGCAATCTTGCCAGTCTGTTAGTTTCTTGGGCCCAGAAGCAGTGCTATACCACCTGCAGCTTCTTTGTGCAAACTGCCAACAACCTTGAATTGCTTTTTGCTGTGCCCCTTAACGGTCTGTCCTTAAAGAAATTGTCATGTTCCCCCATTGTTGCAGTACTTCCTGCAACTCTGCAAATATCAAATGATTGTTTGCAGTGTTCGACAATAGCGCAGAGCTGTGTGGGCTCCATGCTTCCGTAAGAAACGGCAGACAGCGACAAGTGCCATGTGGATTTGTGGGATTTTAAAAACAGGCATGAAAATTATGGTATGTGCATGGTATTATGTGATGGGGAAAGTTGCATAATGGGAACTTGACTCCTTGCTCCCAGCTTTTTTGCACGACTTGTGTGTGCAAAACAGATTGCCTTTTGGGGAATTTTCACATTGTGCTGGAGGGTTGGATGTGGCCCTCTGGGATACCGACCCATTGTTAAGGCTACATTTTTGGCACAGGCATTTTTTTTTAAGTCATGGACAGGACATGGGCATAAATAATAAGTCAAGAATTTGCTGAAGCCCAAGCCCCGCTGGCTGGGGCTGAATTACTAGAATTTTCAAAAAGTCAGATCTCATAAAATCACGGAATCCATGACCTCTGACAGATTAGTAGCCTTACTCATAGCACACAGCACCTTGTGTGGACACAAGCACTCCTGATGAGTAAGTGCAGCACCAAAGTGAGAACCATGTATGTGCATATGCATGGGTAATATACTAACCATGGCAACTTGTGTTGACCGAAGTTTATGATCTAGATATAGCCTAGTAAAATATACACCATGATCTCTTATAGGACAAAGAGGGAAAAATCCAAAAGGGGGGAAAAAGTAATGAGAGCTGTAGAAAGTTCAGTAAAAGTTTTCAAAAATTGACAATAAGTTGCATTCTGCTAGCCAGCAAGCAATAACTGTTTTTAGTCCCTTGAAAGTTGTGTGTGTGTGTGCAAAGGTATAAACACCTCTTGGATTTTCTCATGAGGGATTTAAAGTGCATGTAGAACAAGGGTGGGCAAACTTTTTGGCCTGAGGGCCACGTCGGGAATAGAAATTGTATGGTGGGCTATGAATGCTAACAAAATTGGGGTTGGGGTGCAGGCTCTGGGGTGGGGATGAGTAGTTTGGGGTGCAGGAGGGTTGGGAGCAAGGGGTTCAGAGGGCAGAAGGGGGATCAGGGTTGGGGCATGGGGAGAGGCTCAGGGTGTAAGCTCAGAGCCGCACTTACCTCAAGCGGCTCCCGGAAGCAGTGGAATGTCCATTGTCCAGTTCCTACGTGGAGGCGAGGCCAGGTGGCTCTGCTCACTGCCCCATCTGCAGGCACCAACTCTAGACCCCGGCCGGAGTGGGGCCGAGCCACGTGGTGCCGCCCCTGGCCAGAGCGCCAGAATGGGGCCGAGCCGCTGGTGTGGCTCCCGTCCCAGCTGGAGCAGGGCCAAGCTGCTGGTGCGGCTCGCAGGCCAGCTTAAAATGTCTTGTGTGCCTGATCCGGCCCATGGGCCGTAGTTTGCCCACCTCTGATGTAGAACACATGGGATTCCTGTGTAAAGTGTACTACGCTTACTGTTGCCATTCTCCTCTGCTAGTTGCCTCTACTGGGTAAAGAATAATCTTGTTGAAGAACAAGGTTCTGCTCGCCTTTGATATGTAGCACAATACTAATAACTGACTGAACAAAAAGGCAGCAGATGAATTTCTTGTAGACTCCTTGGTATGCAAAGTTTACCTGTGGGATTAGGTTCTATGTTATTGTCCTCTTGACACAAAGTAAAAGAAGAATCTGCTATATTAATGTAATACTCTTGTAAAAAAAATGTTGAAAGTTTCAAAGTTAGCTCCTTAGAGATGTGTTGCAGAGACAGAATCCACTCTTTTTTTAAATAGTATTGTCTTTTGTATTGTCTGAGCTTTTAACTTCGACAAGTTATAAAATGGTGTTGTTGCATAATTCTATTAGAGATCCTGTGAGGCATGCTGAATTTGGAAAAATATACAAGGTGTAAGTCATTTATTTATGAAAATCCTGGAAAAATGATCTCAAAACATTGAGAGCATGTCCTGCTTTGTTCTTCAAATTATCTTGTTAATGAAATGGTACTTGTATGAAGGCAGATCCGTACTGCAATGTGCAGGGGCTGGGAGAGATGTTCTGGTATCTTAGTAATTGTTATTGGGTTAGTATGGGAAACCATACTGGTTCAGATCTATCAAAGCATAGAGGAATTGGCCTGTGTTGCTCAGTTTAACCTCTGCCAGTGTATGTAAATGCCCATCTCCCAGATGGGGAAAGTTTGTTTTGTTTTATGTTGCTTGCATTTGGGTTATGTTAGTTCATTCACTTACGGTCTGTCTTCTGCTCTCTTACAGTCACTCTGTCCCACATCACACAGCTGGTTCTCAGTCACAACAAGCTCACAAGTAAGTACACTTCTTGGTGGCTAACACTATTTTCTAGAAGCCTCATTGCTACCACTTGAACAACATTCAAAAGTTGCCATTGGTGGTGTTCCATTTTATTTATTTAGCATCAATTAGGCTATGCTGTTTAGAGATGGTAGCAAGGCCCTTGTCCTAAATAGATCATTTAAATAGTTGCATTACAGGAAATGGATGGGAAATGTAATTTAGCATTGATGTTCAGCAGGTCTCCTTAGTTTTTGTATTTTTGTTTTTCATTCTCCATTTGTGAGGATAAGATCCTTAACTGTGATCTTATTTCCAACCCATCCATTTAAAATTTTTTCCGCTTCTGCCCTGTCTGTAAGTTTCCTACATCTCCAGAAGTCTTTTTTAAAGTATATTTGCTTTGTTTGATTAAATGTGAAATACTACAGTGACCATGCATGTGCAGTGTTAAATGTTTAACTTCTGTTGATTTTGTATGGGTTTTAAAAGAAGAAATGAACTAAAGTCTAATTTTGTCAATGTATAAAGACCTGCCGTGTTGCAAACTTTTGAGGGAAGGGACTGCATCTTTGTGTCTGTACAGCACCTAGCACAATCTGGCCTCAATCCTTTGGATGTTTCAGTCAAATAGTAAATCAGTACTGCAGTAGGGGTCAAATGACATAGAAAAATCATAATAGTAACTTAGCCTTCTTAAACATGCATTTTCCTGTCATGGGTGGGGAATGCCAGACTATTTCAGGGGTCATTGTAGGGTAGAGGAAAGCATTGTGTATAGAAGAAAAGCTGTGGGACCCCAGACTCACGCCACCCTCACGCTCAACAAATGTTCTGCCTTATCTGCAATTAAAATTAGGTGGCTGCTTGGAAGTCACTCTACTTCCATACTGTTGTGACCCCAATGTAATTTGCTCTGGGAGCAGCTCACATGTACAGGAGTGCAGGTTCAGATGTCATCATGCCAGTCCAGTCAAGTTTTCTTTACTCCTTTTGGTACTCAGCTGGGCCTTTGAAGGCACTATTGTGCATCTCTCCCGCTCCCAGGTATCTGCATTCCATGGAGTGTGGAGATGAGGAATTCAAAGCTACTATGTGATGGAGGAAGGTGGAGTCCATGCAAATATGGTGGACGGGAAAACACAATTGCCAGGGAAGGAGGACAAGAGAAACAGGATGGGGGGGGGGGGAAGGGGTAGATGGTTACTGTGTTCACACTTGGATGGGGGATGAAGTGGTGTGTTAGTCCATTGCAAGGAGGTGCTCTAGCATAGTGGTTCTCAATCAGGGGTACGCATAGTCTTCCAGGGGGTACATCAACTCATCTAGATATCTGCCTATTTTTACAACAGGCTATATAAAAAGTACTAGCAAAGTCAGTACAAACTAAAATTTTGTACAGACAAAATGAGAAAGTAAGCAATTTTTCAGTAATAGTGCGCTGTGACACTCCTGTCTGATTTTGTAAGCAAGTAGTTTTTAAGTGAGGTGAAACTTGAGGTACAGAAGACAGATCAGACTCCTGAAAGGGGTACAGTAGTCTGGAAAGGTTGAGAGCCACTGCTCTAGCAAAAAGAGGCTGGAAATCACTGTCACAAATCCTTTAAATTGTCTAGCTCATTGAATTTCAGGAAAGTCTAAATTCTTCAAAATCTCATAAGAGTTATGTTTTTAATACCTAGGACTTGCCTAAAGGAAAGTTTTTTCAGATGAAAAGGGGATTATGAGGGCTGTGAGGATGATGTAATCAGTTGTGTTATCCTAGCATGTAGAGGATAAATATATTTTGAATGAGAGTACAGTTATATTTTATTTTTTTAAGATGTGGCATTAAGGGGTGTAAAGGAATATGGGTGCCAATAGGCAAGTGTATAGTTGCTATAAATTTTTAGTGGGCCATTTTCCTCGTAGCTAGTATATTAGGAGAATACGGAAACTTGAGTCCTGGTCGTATCGTCTCCTCCATATCTGCCTGCTGCTTTTGTCCCTCTTCTCACCTATCCCACCTGGATCCCAAGGAGATCTCAATATTCTTATATAACCTTGACCAGAGATTTCATGCCCACTGACATGTGAAGACGATAAAGGACCTTTCCTCAGATCCCTGTTTCAAGAAAGGCATAGTGCCTCACAGTGGAATTTTGCCCTTTATGCCATAGATAGCTGATGAGTAACGCTGTGAGTTTGTCACAGAGGTCATGGAAGTCAGATTCCATGACTTTCTGTGACTTTTGCAGCGACCGGTACACCTGGCTCAGGGGCAACTCAGGCAGCACCAGGTACACCAGCTGCTGCTGGGGCAGTCTCAGCCCCCCGCAGCGCGCAAACCCCCTCTCCCACATCCAGCAGCAGGGTTTGGGTGTGGAAGGGGGCACCGGATGGGGTGAGGCCACCTCTGGGTGGTGCTTCCCTGGGGGCCTCCCTGGAAGTGGTAACATCCCCCTTGCTCAGCTGCTAGGCGGCGGCATGGCCAGGCAGGTCTGTGGGCTGCCTCCGCCCAGAGCGCTGGCTTCGCAGCTCCCATTGACCAGAAGATACCAATAAAATGGGGTAAAAAGAGTAGATTCTACAAACTCTGACTTTTAAATCAAAGGGTTGTATGAATATTAAGGGATGAGTGTCCATTCTTCCATTTAAGGGATGCTGTTGACCTGTCGGACCCTACCTTATAGGAAGGTAAAGGCCAGGAATCTTCCCCAGTGGGGTATAACTAATATTCTCCAATGTTGGAAGTTACCGCTCTTTTTTTAAAAAAGAAAAATAAATGTTGAGTTGAAATAGTGTCTCTCCCTTTAAAAAAGGCCAAATTTCAAAGTCATATTTTTGTATCTGACACTCTTGACCTAATCCTTTAAGCGATATAATTAATTGTCTTAGTAGATTGTTCTTAAAGTGACTTGGGAAAACAGTGGCAATGACACTTGATAAGTTTCACTAAGGTCATATTAGCATCTTTTACTAGTTTTCTGTCATATAAATGAATGTGCTTGCTTCTGTTTTTCTACTGCCTGTAGTAAATATGTCCGTTTGATAGAGTAAATACATATAAAAAGTAAGTGGATGTGAGTATCCTTCTGCAACCAGTATCTTATTTTGCCAGTCAACACTACTAAAATTTAAGCAAAGCTTCTGAAGGTAGATAACGCCATTAAATCCCGTTATGCTGATTACACTGCTCTGAATATTTTTACTCCCAGCATGTTGCGCTTTTGCAGTTAACTTCTTAGTGTGCCATTCACATTGCTATTAAGTTTGCACTTACCTTCCTATAAATCATTCTTTATCAAAGGTACGCAAATCTGCATTCCATTGATTGAATAGCGTTGGTTGGTTGAATCATTTAGGGTTTGTCTGCACGGCCAGTTAATGTGTAATAAGCCAGGGTGTGAATGCACAGCGCACTAGCGTGCTGTGCACTAACTGCGTGGATCCTGTTACTGCATGCTAAAAGTTCAAATAACCAGTGAGGTCTACGCAGCCATTGAGTGCATGGCAGGCTAGTGTGCTGTTCATTCACTCCCTGGGTTGCCATGCACTAACTGGCCGTGTAGACGTTCCTCAGTAAGTGTACACAGATTTGGGACAATTGCCATTCCAGTTTCAACTTGCTCTGCCACAAACTTTAGTAGAAGGGGAGAAAAAGGAGGCATCTGTCCCTCCTCTGACTGTGTATCTGTTGGGCCAAATGCCTTTCAGGTGTAACTCATGCCTTCGTTGGTGTTACACTAGCGATTCATTTAGCTAACTGTTATAACATCTGAAAACACTGATGTAAAACGGATCTTGTTTCTACTGTATTGTCCTTTTTTGTTTCTAGCCATAAACCTTGTCCCTTGCTGTACAATATTCACTGTAATTAGGTCTCTCGTCCACTAACCCTATACAATTTGACTTATCCAGACTTCTGCTTGAAGCTGTTCTAAAGCCGTCTGTAAATGTTGGTTGATAGGTGAAATTGAGAAGCAGGTTTAACATGGGCATGACTCTAGATATAGGTTTCAAGGGAAATAACCTAAGCTACTTAGCCCTGGTCTACACTATGAGTTTAGGTCGAATTTAGCAGAGTTAGATCAATTTAACCCTGCACCTGTCCACACGACAGTCATTTTCGTTGACTTAAAAGGCTCTTAAAATCAATTTCTGTACTACTCCCCAAGGGGATTAGCACTAAAATTGACATCGCCGGGTCGAATTTGGGGTAGTATAGATGCAATTTGATGGTATTTCACTCCGGGAGCTATCCCAGAGTGCTCCATTGTGACTGCTCTGGACAGTACTTTCAACTCAGATGCAGTTGCCAGGTACACAGGAAAAGCACCGGGAATTTTTGAATTTCATTTCCTGTTTGGCCAGCGTGGCGTGATGATGCAGAGCTCACCAGCAGAGGTGACCATGCAGTCCCAGAATAGCAAAAGAGCTCCAGGGTGGACTGAACGGGTGGTACTGGATCTGATCGCTGTATGGGGAGACTAATCCATGCTATCAGAACTCTGTTCCAAAAGATAAAATGCCAAAATATTTGAAAAAATCTCCAAGCGCATGAAGGACAGAGGCTATAACAGGGACCCGCAGCAGTGCTGCATGAAAATTAAGGAGCTCAGGCAAGGTTACCAAATGGGCAAACGGCCACTCCGGGTCAGAACCCAAGGCATGCCACTTCTATGGTAAGCTGCATGCAATTCTAGGTGGTGCCCCTACCACTACCCCACCCCGTACATGGACTCCTGCAAGGGGGGAGTCTCACGAAACAGGGATAAGGATTTTGGGGATGAGGAAGAAGGGGAGGATGAAACCATACTCCCCGACAGCCAGGAACTGTTTATCACCCTGGAGCCAATACCCTCCCAAGGCGGGCTTCTGGACCTTGAAGACCGAGAAAGTACTGGTGAGTGTACTTATTAAAATATAATGCATGGTTTAAAAGCAAGCGTGTTTAATGATTAATTTGCCCTGAAGACTTGGGATACTACTGGAAAAGTCTGTTAATGTGTCTGGGGATGGAGCAGAAACCCTCC